AGAAGGAACCGTTGAGGGCCCTTCCAGTTTCTAACTGTCCTGGGCATTTGCTAACGCCCTGACTAATACGGAATATCTCCGTCTCTCAAACAAAAGTGATTACAGAGGAGATTGCGGCTTTTGAATTGGAAAATACCTTTAGTTTGAGCTTGCTTTTGCGCATTTCGTTGAGTTTCCAAGCATTTGAGTCCGCAATTTTGGACCTCTCCGTTCGCCAGATTTGGATTAGAAGTTCGTCGAAAACGGATTCTGTCAGCCTGCAAAATGGCACAGCCGAGAGTTTTTGAAAATGAATAAATTTGTTTAAGACAATTGCCACATTAGCAAATACTTCTCTGGCTTGTAGATAAACACTTAATAGATAAACACTTCAGTAAATAAGAATTATTATTATTGTTATTGCTATCAGTGTTGTTACTACCATTATAATTATCATTATTACTAGCTGAATTACTGCACTTTCAATAAAATATTGTTTAGAAGTAGCTAGTTCTCCAATTACGCATTGGCAACTTCTTCAGTTGCTTTGACTAGCAGATCAATGCGTTAATGTAAATAATTTATCTGAAAAATCCACCTTGCTTGCAAAAATGAATACTGCGCTTTTTTTTGAAGGAATGCTGACTGAAGATCAACCACTTTGGCCACAAAAAATAAAGTAAATTCTCGCAAATACATTATTTAAAGATTTCTAATTTTTATAATAATAAATAGCAATAATAACAACGATGATAATAATAATAATAATAATAATAATAATAGCAATAATAATAATAATAATGTCTGCAACTCATGTGACTGCGCAAAAAAAACGTTTGTTAGCGTATAAATATTGATCGCTCTATAAAACGGTTCGTATAATAAGTTGAGGAGTAAAGTGTATGTATCATGCCCAACCTTTTTGTGCGGAACACTGGAACAGCGGTTGGAACATGTCTCAAATTTCTCCCGGATCGAGTCGAATGTCTTCACTTTGCGATTCGCTCTAGCAACTGTACGAATAGCTGCTGCACGATGAATATAGATCCCATTTGGTTGATCCAAACTCGTGATCTGCAATACTCACACCAGCGGACTCAAAAAATAATAGCATTTCGATAATAAAAATAACAACCCCAGGCTGGAATGCGTCAGGCTTGCCGGTGTGATCATATGTTTTGCACTAGACTTGCAGCAGTCAGATAATTAAAAGCATGACTGGTCCCTGCATCACACTTTAACACGTGGACATATGTTGGCTGTGTTTTGGCGCTTTCTTGCATACAGGTTGAGATGGCAGAGTTGCATCGTGGGATCGCGTGAACCTAAGTATGCATGATTAACAATTTTTTGCATGAACCAGATCGTTTTTCTGGTTCATCGAAAAAATGCAAATTTGAAGGAAGTCGGAAAAGGATCACAATTTACACCTGCATTCGAGTTTGCTATAAAATTGAGTGTTTTTCATGTCTGCGTGAAAGGAATTTCACTTCCAACCTTGGTTAAGATCATTTGTGAATTTAGAATATCCCTGCAAAGTTTCAGCTTTGCAGCTTGTCCGATAAGCGAAACAGCCACTCTGCTACAAATATCTTTGAAGTGCCCTAAGTTTTTGGCACAAGTGCAAAATCGAAACTCAGTTTAGGCATACAACAAATATTCTAACAAATTTTCAACTATATTTTCCGGCTAGTTTTTGAGTTGGCACAGTGGCAACTGCGACTTATGACTTGATTATAAGCGCATTATGAGGTGTGTGATAGCCAAATTTGAAACCTTTAGCCCATGCATACATAGAGAATATCCTTGCAGAATTTGAGCTTTTTATCCCACGAAATCGCTTTCCGTCAAAGAAATTTTCATATTTTCGAAAATCCGTGCGCGGCTTAGGAGCCTGTGTAGTAAGTTTAAAATGGAAAAGTGACACACGGGATAGGAATATAACCCCAAAATTTCAGCTCTCAGCGTTCCTGTAAAAAGTTACTGAGTTGAAAGTAGGAGATAAATTTTGCTCGCTTCTGGATAAACACATACGAACGACCTCTCGAGAATATGCGTTTTGGCTCATTGTAGCTGTGCTATAGCGTTGCACAGCAAAAAGTAATAGATCGAAAGAATCGAATCACTCCTCTTCACGATGCAGCTTGCTATCCACTACACCACCAGCTACTATGCTCTATGTTCACTCTGGGAGCGCTTTTATTGCGCATCCGTCTTTCAGTGCAGAATACACCTTTCTTTTCTCGGTTGCTTCCTATAGGCGTTATAAACCTTTGTTTTTTGTCTACCCTTCTTTAGGTTGTATACAGATTTGTGGCGGCTTTTCACGAGTTTTCCGCAGCATTAATTTCATAATTTTGGATTTTAGAACAGAAATATGCGAATACCTTTCCGACGTGCACACCGGGAACTTTTTGAATGTTACTGTAAGCGCTACTACTGCTACGAGACTTGTCTTTTCCGGCCAGTTTATTCCTGAAACTTTACTTTTATGTCTCGTTTGCACAACTTAGAAACATATCGTTCGAATTCAGTTTACATCCTTGCATACATTAAAACTATTTGACCGATATAAATATACACACACACACCTACAGACGCTCACATGCATAAGTATTCATAAACGCAAGAACTCATTTTGGGAAAGCAAAAGAAAACTTACGTGAATCCTGAAGCAATTAAGTCTTGACTGTTGTTATTGCTGTCGTTGAATTTATCACTACTACTGCTGTTACGCCGGCGAATTTCAGCAATTTTCAGTCTTTTGAAACGAGGTGAACGTACGTGCGCTACCACTGCAGGCTGCTCTTTGGAGAGCTCCAAAAAGTGAGCACGAAGTTTTTGCACAATTCCTGGCCCATACGTTAATTCTGCAAAAAAAAAAAACACAATATTTTTATAAAAAGAAGCAGAAATTCGGTGAACTAGTTTTTTTTCTCATGTATTAAGAACCGAACTCATAGACACAATTTTTTCCTCCTCTTTCCACCTTTACTTCCCACCACGCGTTCCACCGGGACATCAGAACAACGTTGCTCGTCTACCACTAACTCTGCGGACCTTTCGGGCTATTTCGATGCTCGTGATCACCAAAGTAAGTCAACCAGTTGTGCACACCTTAATACTGAGCAAACCAGGATTGGCCCTGATTCTTTATGGGCAAGTACAAGAAAAGGTTCAAAAAAACAACTTATTTTTCACCCTAGATTAGGCTGAAATTTGTGGAAGACACGAGTAATTACTATTAGAAAGTACCACAGTACAAGGGGGTGAATGTGACATCGCTTAACCCCCGTACTAATTTGAATAATTTCTAATTTTTCTTATTGGGAATCCGGGGGTCATGCTTTTCCTTTAGAAACTTTGCTTGAATACCTCAGTCAGTTATAGTTGAGAGTGAGTTTCTTCACTTAGGGACTGGCGACATTACCAATTGCTCTGACCAGTACTAAATTGCTTAATGATCAGCTTGCTGGCGATTCTGAAGTTCAAAGTCATAAACTGAAGAAACTACACATACCGTAATGAATCAGATTCGCACCACCATTTTGCTCATGGATTTCATTTTTAAGCGAAAGATGATGACTCTGGTACGTCTGAAACCATATATCTATGATTAAATACTTAGTAATCAAGACAATGGAGGATTTACTCGTCCATCTAAATGAATCGGCAGTAATTTTTCAAATCAAACTTTTCGGAACTTTTTTTGAAATAAATAAATCCGGTAAATAGAATAATTAGTGACATTTAACCTGAAATAAAGTTCCAGTCACCAGTACACGCTGACCTATCTTACGGAGGCCAAACGTTTTTAGTTTCAGCTGTTGCAAAAGTTTGAAGATGATTCAGTCTGAACAAGAGTTCGAAACCATAGGTCAAGGTGTGACTTAGTCCATAATGTTTTATCCGAAATGAGCAATAATTTCATGCTTGCTCTCTAATTCAATACAGGTCAAGAGGGGTTATGAGTTGATTTCAACTTTATAGCCTTGTACAAGGTTGGACACTATGCTCTCAAAATTTCAGCTTCCCAGCTTATGTAGATCTGGTGTTATCCAAATATACACATATGCGCACGTATATACAGAGACTTTGTTTCGCCTCAATGAGTTTTGAACCGAACAAATGCAAAAACGCATAAAAATACAAGCACTAAAAAATTACAGTAAACGCATCGCCTGCAACCATCTCCTGGATCTGGATATGACTGCTGAAATTCCGAAAAGAAATACGAAGAATTGACAGATTCCAGAAATTACAACTACTTCCACTGCCTGAAAAACAATCAGTATATTGTCATTTTGCTCCAAAATAATAATTGTAGCACCGAGTGAAACAATTTTTGCAACGCAAAGCAACGAAATTCGTTCATTCCGCGCACACTTCTAATAATTTTTTGAAATAATGATGTTTTATTGCAATCAAAATTTGTGTTTTCCAATGTCTCGCAGAATACCTATTTCTAAGAACATTAAGATTGTCGGGGCAGTCAATAAGAGCATCACATGTTAGTGATATTCGGTGTAGAACATTGAATGAGTGAGAAACAGTATTTGATCCAAAATTTAAATCTCCATCCATGAAAGACATTTTTTGAGCGGCTGAAGCTCGGCCCGATCGCGTAATATATACGCCCAAAATGCACTCGTTTATGGCCTAGGGATGAGAAAAAGCAATCAGTGGAAATTGTCCTATAAAAGCCCATTTTATAAAATAGCCCAGCTAGTGAAGTAGCAATTTATCATCGAAATGAGTGAACGAACCGCACAGAGCTTCCTACCTTCAAATTCTAAGAAATAAATTTACGCGAGTCAAATTTTACTGTATGAATTTTCGAAAATGAGTCAAATTCTGCACTATGAATTCATATCGGTTAAATTCTACAGCATAAATTTATGTGAGTTAAATTCTGCAGTTATGTGAGCCAAATTCTGCAGTGTGTATTATTCGTGCGAGTCAAGTTCGACAGTGTGAATTTGTGCACCAAGTCGAATTATGCACAATGTATTCACTGTAAATGAATTTTGTGTGAACCGAATTTTACATTGCAAATTCACGCAGGTGAAGTTGTATGATGTGAATTTGTGTGAATTAAGAATAAAACATAATCAGTACATGAGCAAGAAAACCCCTAATCGAATTGCCCAGGACAGCAAAAAATCCTGAGATCAAAAATTAATTTTTAAATGAATTTATATTCTCGTTGAACTCCAGTTGTTCAAGTGGGCTTATTTTATGTCAGTGCGAGAATTTCATTAACTTTAACACTATAAACCTCAGTAGCTTTTCAAGAGCAACCTAGTACTTCAAAAATCAGCTAATATTGGACCAAAATTTCTTCGTCAGACTGGATAGCTAAGTTGGTAACTAGCAATGCAGCCAGAAAAAATTTCTCGCACTGCACTTTTGCATATAAAAATAGAATCCTTCGGGAGTGAAATTTTTTTAAAATTCAGTGCTTTTAGAAAATATTTATGAAAGGTGTTGAGTTGAATGAGAGCAGGCGAGAAAAGCGATGGTTTTTCGGAAGAAAGTGTTAAGTGGTGTTTTTTTAGATCTACTAGCCGACACTTGAATGGTGGAGTAAACAGTGATAGAAAGCACAGCTTTTGAAAAAAGATTTGAACTTTCAAAACGTTACGAAAAAATCGTACAAAGCCTGCTAAAAACGTCCTTTAAAATTTTTAAAAATCAAATTCAGTGAAATGCAGGCAAGGCTACTTAATGCGACGGAAGGAAACGACTATATGGAAGTCTGTGGATGAGGGAAGTACAAAATAGTGGGGAATAGAAAATTCCATTACATCAATGGCGAAAACAAACGCAACGATGAAAAAACAGCTGATTAAAGTATCGAAGTATACTTTTTTGTAAATGTCACTGAAGGGGTGCGCTCTGTCTATTTTGGCGTTATCAGTATACTAGCTGCAAAATTTGTCTGCGTTCATTTTCCATTCAGCAGCGAACACACACTTATTTTCGGATCAGATGCCAAAAAATCCCGTTTTCTTAAGCTGTTTTTGTCAGTTCTCAAGTTGCTTTTTTATAGCTCGCAGAAATTGGGTTAAATTGAAGTTCAGTAATGAAGTCTGAAAAAGAATGTGTACGATTTGGTGAGCCACAATTTACTTTTGTCTCTAACAATATTTTTCTAACCATATAATATCTCAAACTACAATATTTTTTATATCACACACATGTATGCACATATATGTAAAAGGAATAGGAAGGTGTATTAACAACGGATGCAAAGAGAAAGACAAAAATGAAGGTAAGAGATGAGAATTACAAAATTTGTAAATTAATAAAATCATTTTAATGACAAGAAATGTTTCGGTCCGTTAAGTCGCAAATTAATTTCCTCCTCTTATTTCTTTTTGCACTTAGCCTCTTCTTGCTTATTTTTCACTAGTCAGCCACTATCACTAGATATCATTTTTTACAAAAAAAGAAAGATCAGTTTAACATATACAAGCATATTTTTACTAAGTGGGATTTCTCTTCCGTTGAGGCAAAACAGCAAACTGGAATATGATATAGTTCAAAGGAATGAGGAAAAATGAGGTTGTTTTGCAGTTTTCGCTCGCCCTTCGAAAACTGAGGTCTGGAGCTCAGCTGCCTCACTAATTATTTGTTTACGTTTGTTTTTTTTTTTTGCACCAGCCTAATGAGCATACGTATGTACATGCAAGCACACACACACATACATACGTACACATACACGTACATGCATACATACAAAAAGTAAACAGCCAGATGTGTCTGGAATGTTCGTTGCTTTGGGTATGGACGAAGGCAGTACCTGGGCACAGTTCTAGTTTTCGATAGTATCTCACGGAGGAGGAAGAAAGCATCGGTGGCGAGCAAATACTTTCTTCCTGCAGCAAAGGAGCATTGGGAAAACCAAACAATAAACATCCTTAAATCGAAGCGCTCTTAAGCCATAAAATTTCATCGCATGAGTACACATACAAACGTACATTTCATATAACATAAATACATAGAAATCTACATACATACAAACCCACACACATATATAAGTACAAACACACGTGGACATACACATACTTATCTACATACATGCCTACAAACATACATACTTATCTGCACACATACATAAAAATATGCGTATTTTATACAAAGAAACACATAGGGCCGACATACAAACATACGCAAACATACATATGCACATACGTACTTGTACGTGCGCATATATGCATTTGTATGTATATGTTTTTAAATACATATATGTATGTGCATGAATATGCATACATATGCGGAGATCCAGAAACATAAATGCTTAACTGTTCTTTCTAAGAAATTATTGAAAAATCTCCATCCATGAGTGACCACTTGTATCTATTAAGTTAGATATTTCTGCAGTTTCCCATGCACACAAAAATTTTTGATGTAGAAAAAAAAATGGAGAATATAAAAAACGCCACTTTCTATCAAATCAACCTCGTGGATGTACCGGAGATTTGACATGCTTTCTTTCCTCTTCGAACTGAAAATTCTTGAATCGGCGCCATGAAGCTCTTAGTGTTAATATACAAGCGAAGAGAAGCAATTTAAGAAGTATACAGCAAAATTTTACTCTCGATTTTGCTCAAATTTTTTGCATTTTGTCCATTTTTGCATACATGATTTTGGCTTTTCCTAGCGCAAAACAGAGAAGGCATTTTTCTGGGGAAAAAAATGGTTTCTGCTGCCGTCGATCGTTCTCTCTGAACAGTGCATGAAGCTGCTAACTCGCTCTTCATGGCACAGCTTGAAGAATTAAGCCGAAAGGATTTGGCTCCCTGTTAGGCATGCTAGCGCCAGTTTAAAGCCAGCTGCATTAGCCTTCCAGTATGACGCTTAAACACCACATAGGAACAGGGATTAAAGCGTGAAATTGGTGCTAGGTGCTAGTGTCACTTATTAGTTTTAAATAAACAAACAATGATAGCGGACATCAGTGATATACTGGAAAAACATGTGAATTTTTTTCCAACAGTCTCAAAACTACCGATTTGG